TTTTTTAAATTTGGCTTCCAATGAAATAATTTTTTTAATATAAAAATATGAGTTTATTTAATTAAATAGATATTATTAAAAAATATTTTATTTAACTTGATAGATATGATGAAAGTAAAATATTTAATAAAATCGTTAACTATGCAATGCAATGTACTAAAATATAATACTTAAAATAGTTTGGTGGCTGTTGTTATGTTCATCATTTTTTTTATTTATTTATTTTTTCTCGGAATTATCAATATTATTTTTGATTATCGATTTTTGAAATTTATCAATATTTTTCATGGAATTTATTTTTTTATCGGAATTATAAATATTTTTTTTTGATTATCGATTTTTCAGAAGAAAAATTGATTATGAAATGAATAAAAAGAATTTGGGAAAAAAATATAATAAAAAATATAAGACATAATAGAAAAAGAAAAATATTATAGCTGTTATGTAAATTATAAAATAATAATTGAAAATGACATGTTATTAAGATTGACACTTTTAAGGATAAAATGTGATAAATAAAAAATGATTGGTTTAATGATTGAATGAATAATAATGATTATTTGGATATTTATATTAATATTTATTTTTCCGGTCCGGTCATAGCTCTTACAACCCCCCGAGCCCCAAAATTATTTTTTAATGTCGGTTGCCCATGCAGTTCTCATTCTCTACAATCATGTATCTCTTTAAATTAGAACTTGAAGATTTTATAACTGATATACTTTTTGGACACATTTTAGATTTGGTAAGGGTAGAATTAGTTTGTTGAATATATGATATTACTATTATTTAATTTGTGTCATGGTCATGTTAATTAATTCAGAATCATATGATGATGAAATAACAACAGAAAAAGTGGCTGGTTAAAAAAATTAAAATGTGATAAAGGAAATAGATTAAAAAATAACCCTTTTATCTTAAAAAATTTAGATTAATATTAAATGAATATTTTTCATTTTTAAATAAATAAAAATAAGAAGATTTTCTAAAATTGAAAGCATAAAACGAACGCGTTAGTCAAAAAGGAACGCGTTCACGTTCAAAGTTTGTAAAAAATAAAAGCGGCGTCCATATTTTTTTTCGAAAAAACAAATTTCATTCAGGAATGCGTTCAATTACAACATTAGTTGTAAAAAACTCGTAAAAATATTTTTAAAAAAAAATAGAAAAAAATATTTTAAAATGATAAAAATAGTAAAATAAAATTGTATAGGTACAAATGTATTGGATATAAGCTTTAAATTTCACGGCATAATTTTATAAAATGGGTAATTTAGTAACTCGTGCTTGGGCCTTAAATTTGATTTTAATTTCATCGGGCGGGTCTTAATTTCTTTTTTCAAATTCGTGATTCACTATTTTTCGTGATCCCAATTTTTCATTTTGCATATTCACTTTATGTTTCAAGAATTTTTAGATTTCACGATTTTTTACGATTTACTATCCATAATTTTATAAAATAAATTATACATTGTCATGTTCGGACTTGGATTCATCCATGGTCTGGTCATCCGCTGAGTTTTTCATGAGTTTTGTTTGTAGACGAAAAGCATTTTTTCTTATTAGAGCCTGGTTTAGTAGCTCACAGTTTTAGTTTGATTACTATCATTTAAATTTGCCCCATTTGGGATGGTCATGAGTTTAAGTAGATTGTAAGGACTTGTAACATATATTGCAAAGACTCTTATAAAACATCAAAACCCGATATTATTTCCCAATAAATTATTTAAAAAAATTTCACCCGAACCTAAACCGAATTTCTAAAACCGGTTTGTACCTTTTGATATCCAAATTTTATGATTGATATCAATAGCCATTTTAAATATTTTTTATATTTTGCCATTTGTTGGGTTCTAAATTTTTTCTATTGCAACCATATAAATATGTTCGAAAGTTACATTGTAAAAAGAGTCAAGAATAGAAGTTTTTTGTTATAACACATTATTCCTATCCAAGTATTTTTTAAAATTAATTTGATCTCAAAAAAAAAATTATTGGTGGAAGTTAGACATATTTTATAATGTATTAGCCTTATTGATGAATTCTGATATTTTATAAAAGTGATAATCCATAAAGCATAGTATTTTTAATTTACTACTCCCTAATATAAATAGTTGTTTATTATGGTGTTAAGTATATATTTGGATTAGGCCTCGTATTTAAAAAAAGGGACTGGACCAGTCCTAGATTTTAAAAAATCGGGTCAGGCGAACGATTGAAGTAAAAAATTATAACCTGACCGGGCCATTTACAAATTTGCCCCTACAGGGATAACACTAAATTAAAAACGGGCCGAGTCGGACTTGAAAATTTAGCTATTTGTAGACCTCTAATTGACATTTACCCATTTTTACGATATAATATGATCTAATAATATTTTGTTGAAAATTTATCATTATTATTACACTCATTTTAAATATAATCTACCAATATTTTGTTCTTTTTTATTATCACAATCACTTTAATATTTGCTTATTTTGTTAAATTGTATTAAAACTGACTGTTATTTTTTTTAAAAAAATTTTCTAAAATATTGTTAAAATAATATTTTAGCTTGTAATTTTTTATTTTGTGTTTTTCTGCTGTTTTTCCCGTTTTTTATGTTTAAAAAATTTTAAAATTTTATATTTTATTTTGTTTTTTTTGCATACCCTAATTATATCTAAATTATAAGAGTGTTGAAAATATCAAATATAATTAATAATTATTATAAATTGTCTATTTTTAAAAATTTAAAATTTACCAATTTATTATATTAATTTTTGTGATAATATTAAATAACAATAATGGCACCTTGCGGTTTAAATATAAAATTATATTTATATATCTTATTTTAATTACTTTAATATAAACAAGTTAAATTAAAAGATATAATTATAAATCATCTAAATGAAATATAAATATTAATCTTTATTACTTTATTATTAAATCCTTCTAGTAATTTTCAATTTACATAGGCACTTACAATTTTAATCAAACAGTATATGAAATCTGTCATAACCTCGTCCAAGATGTATTTTAGAAAATGACAGATTTCAAATATCTGACTCTGAACATAAACCAGAAAAAAATTGCAAAAAATTATTGTTCTTCGGACGCTCTGACTTCTAACACTAGCTAGATTTATTATTAGCTATAAAAAGTTTTTTAACTGATCCAAAAATATTCACTGTTATTGATTATTTATACTGAACAAACATTAATTTTAAACTGGTGAAAATGGAAGAAAAAAATACTTCGCCCTTAATTATTTTCTTAATATTTCGGTGTTTTCTATTATATGTAAAATTTATGTTTTTTATATTTATGTGTTAAATATAGTTTCCATAGTTTTATTAATAGTTCTTGATCCCTCAAATTCTAATTCTTACTTTTTTGGTAAAGTTATAGGCGTATATTTATTCTTTACCTCTGGTGATTCTTAATTTTATCATAATAAATGGGGAACTTAATAAAAATAATATTTATATAAATTGATTATTTATACCAAATTCATAAAGCGGACTTTTTCTTCTGCCATTACGATATTTTCGGAATAAAACATTAGCAAATCTCATTTCAATTTTTTAGATAATTCATTATTTATAAATTACATCTTTATATCTTTTTTTAATATTAGTGTTAAGGGTATATCTGGTTCATCTTATTTTTTAAATAATTTTCTATTAGCCTATCAAAAATCAGGGACCCGAACCATTATTAACGGTTCAATTTGATTATGGCTCAGTATGTAAAATATTATAATGGTTACGTTTTGATTACGGTTCTTAAAAAGAAATTTATAAAGGTTCGCTTCAGCTGAAATTTTTTTTTTATTGAAGCAACACCATCTTCTAATTTATTTATATTATAAGCATCTATGAATTATGTATAAAAATATATATATTCAAAATAAATTTTTAAATATATTATTTGAACGTATAAGTAATATATTTTCTAATATAAATGGATTCTTTTTTGTTTGTTGTGACAATAACACAAATTTTGGCCACGAAAAAGCCCTTTCTACAGAAAATTGTGTTGCCGGAACCACCAGTACTATAAAAGAAAGTTTATATAATTCTGGATATTCAAATTATTTCAGATTTCTAAAATATAAAAACTGAACCAGTTTGAACTGGTTTAACCGTTTTTTATAAAGGTTCTTTTTACTTTTTCAAAAAATAATTATATTGGTTCGGTTACGGTTATGGTTCAGATATTGGTTTATAATGATTTAACGGTTCGTTACGGTTCACTCCGGGTCCCTGTCAAAAATCCAAAATGAAATTTTTACTTCTCATAGATAATCTGTATAGTTAACATTTTTTTATGTATCTTGATTAAATAGGTCATGAGTTAAACTGCATTTTGTAAGTGGGCTCTTTTAAAAATTAGAATCTGCCGTCGGGCAAGAATTTTATCAACCTTTGGAGGAGGCCAATCAAGCGTGAAAAAATGCTTAAATAGACATCTCATATATTTAAATAACAAAACCGGTATATTTTATAAAATAATCTAGATAATAACACATATACAGCACTTACTTATATAGATACAGCATCTCGATACATGTATATATAGATATTTTCAACAGCCTTACATTTTAACATGTAGAGCCCTGTATATCTTCCAAATCTAGTACCAAGTTCAGTCCGAGATGAAGTAGAGTTTGGGGTGAGGGTCGAAAATTTAAAAAAGTCGTGCATAGAATGCTCTCTGGTTTATAATTGAAAAAAATTCCAAAATAAAATAAAAAATATGCTTTCTCCACTTTGATTAAAATAAAGCCATAATTTATATTTTTAGAATGACATTTTAAAGCAGTAAAATTTAGGCACAGCTCGAGCTTAAAAATAAAAAATTTCTGTTGGGCCAGAAAAAATTTAATTAACAGGTCTCAACATCAAAAAAAAAATTGTATTTACAAATCTCAATATGTAATTATAAATATCAAAATAATTATTATTGATTAGCAATTTCTATCCCAATTTCCCATGATTTATTTTTTTTTTAAATAGATTTATGGATGAGTCGTCGAATGTGGAGGACAAGAAGAGATTTTGCCAATTGACACAATTTAAAAATTGTGGTATTCCTTACTACGTACCCATAGTAACAAGTTGCGAAGAGAGGAGCAGAATAATAGGAGGTGATAAAGCTGAATCACATAGTTGGCCTTGGCAAGCTGCTATATTTGAAGGAAATAGAATGATATGTGGGGGAAGTTTAATAAATGAAAAATGGGTATTAACAGCCGCTCATTGCTTTAAGGGGTACAATAAAAAAAAATTTTCCCCTAACGTTTGTATAAGAATTGCAAATTTAACAAAATTTATATTGTAATTTTTTGGGATACATGTCAATATCGTTAAAATTTTGGCGCGAAATGTATTATCGCGGATGTCGATAACCGTGAAATATTATTAGAGCGAATGCATTACCGAATGTATTATAGTGAAAATATTATGGCTAATGCAATAGCGCGATTGTAATACCGCGAAAGTGTTATCGCGAATACATTACAGCGAATTTATTACCGCAAAATCACTATCGAGAATGCATTATAGCGAATGAATTATCGCGAATACATTATCTCGAAAATATTAAAGTAAATTTATTATAGCGAATGCATTATCGCGAATGTATTAGCGAGGATTACCGCGAAAAGATATTATAGCATTGTCGCGAATGCAATATAGCAATAACATTAGCCCAAATACAGTATAGAGAAAGCATTACCGCTAAAACATTATGTAATGCCTTCGCTATATTGCATTTTCGGCAACAATTCTTTCACAGTAATGCATTCGCTATTATATCTTTACGCGGTAATCAACATTTGCGGTAATGCATTTGAGATAATGTATTTCGCGCAAAAGTTTCACGGTATTGACGTGATACGAATGTTTTTAGGTGAATATTATACAAACTTATGCTAAAAACAAATTTTTATTGGGCAGGAGATATTTTAAAAAATTTTACTATTTGTAACTTTTCGACGCAACCAATAATTTAAATTTTTTTACATAAGCTGATTATAACCTATTTATGTGTTATGAGCCAAGTCCAATTATTAATATTATAAATAAATATCAATAAAGTCATCTTCCAAGATCGATATTATATTTTATATAATATTAAATTAGACTGTAATTATTTTTTAAAAAATCCTAGTTAAATTATTAATCTTTAGGATTTAACATCTATCCCTCATTATTATCTCATCTTATATTTATTAGAGCCAAATTGTATCAAACCATTTTTTAATATTCCTACTGGATATCTGACTTTATTCAAACCTAATCCTCCTAAGAGGATAGTTTTAGAAAAACTTGTCCCGCCCAAGAATCAAACTAGGTTTCTGCTACGCCTCAGGATAGATATTTAGATATCTAACTCTCTTAGCCAGAGCTTTTTTGTATAAAATAATAATTTACCAAACTCAAATAATTTTTATCAAATCCTGGTCTCATTACATTTATTATCATAACATTTTATATTTGTTTATTATAGTGTTCTTTTTCACTTTTGGTATTGAGCGATATTTTTCCTATTTGGCTTGCCAAAATTTAAAAGGCTCTTAGAATTTGGACCGGAATGCAAATATAAATTATAGTTAGTTAAAGAAATATTTATTAACCAAATACAATTACTCTGCTCTAAAATAATTTTATTTTATGATGTACATTATATTTTCAGGCCTATGTCTGCGATCATCATCAAACTAGGGATAGATGTAATTTTTGGGAGTGATAATGAAGAAGAAGGAGAAGAATTAAAACCCATTTTAATCGTGAAATATAGCGCATTTTCGTTCAAATCGCTTGACGGCGATATCGCTTTAATTAAGCTTAATAGAGAAGTGCATTTTTCTGAAAAAGTTAATTTTTTTCATATCAACTAGAATGGCTTTCTATCCCTAATTCTAATTATTGCATATTAATTTTGAAAAATTTATTAAATACTATCAACTAGATACTACCCATATGTTTACCAACAAACAAAGATGAAAATATGAATACTTATAGCGACGAATGTTATGTTACAGGATGGGGTACCGTCAATCCCTTGATTGGTGAATAAATCCATTTAGTCATAATTTATTAAATTTTAATAATATTTTTGTATTATCTAAAATAAATTTTCCTTCTAACTTTCATGTGTTTTTTCAATTATTTAATTTAAAGATAAATACCCCTATTTGATACTAGAATATTGAACTTTCACAAAAAGAATTTTAAGGAATTATTAGAGTCAGAGATTAAGTTAAAATAAAGAATAAAGTGAATCTCGTTCCTTGCATTGTTCTCATTTTGATTATTAAAGATTGATGGAAGTGTGGGCTAATTTTGAGCCCTGGATATGTGCAATGTTTCTGTTTTTCCATTTTCTTATTCTGTAAATTTAAATGAGCCACTAAAGTAATTTAAAAGTTAGTTATAAAATTTGGAAAAATAAATGTCCTTCATAGGGTAAAAACTAATTAAAATAGGTTACACTAATTGGATTTAAAAGGGAACTAATTAAGATATAAAGGACTTTAGATTTAAAAAAATACTATATTAATTTCTTATTTTATTTATTTCTAACATCACATATAAAAATATCAAATCTAAAGAAAATCCCACAAATCATTTGATGCAATTATGCGTGCCATTTAACAAACCCAAGGATTGTAACAATCTTTACAAAAATTTAGGACGAATCACAGAAAATATGTTTTGCGCGGGTTATGTAAATTCTGGGAAAGATGCTTGTAAGGTAAGTTAATTTTTTTTTATTAACCATCATGCCTAAATAACATAGGCTATAAATTTTGGGCAGTAAATTAATCCACATAGGCAGTATATTTATTTTCAACAAATTAATCTTTAGTTTTTATAAATTTTTTGACAATAAGTTAATCAGAATAGATAGTATTTTTATTATCAAAAAATAAATAATTTAGACAGTATTTACAAAATATCTAGCAGTAAGAAAAGATAAATAAAGTTGAACTAAAATTTTTCATTTATTTGAAAGTTGTTTAGTATTTATAGAAATATCTATTCTAGTTATAAATTATCATGTATATTATATGAAAATTAACATATCAAATATATAAAAAATTACTAAATTACCAAATAAAATATAAAAAATGAGATACATTATGGAATTGCAATATTGAATATTTATGTCATTGAGAAAATCTAAATGAAAATAATTTAAAAATGTCACATGATTAGATTACACATAAATAAAAATAAGATAGGACAAACCAGATTAACTTTTAACAAAGTTATCTTTTATTGATTAATTACTTTCAATTTATGTGCAGGGTGTTTTTAAAGTAATTATTTAATATGCTATAAATTATTAGACCATTTGTCTATTATTTTCTTAGCAATCATTTTGAAATAAACAACTATAAATATTCTCTCTTAAAGTATTTTCATGAATTACCCTATTTCTTGCTTCTAACGCATTATTGTTACTAGAGATTAAACCCTTCATATAATGTGTTACTTTTATCGATCCCTTTAATTTCTAAATATTTAACAGTTAGAAACAATTATTTAACAGTTAGAAACAATTATTTCTCAGTTTCAATAAATAATTCAAGGTTTTATTAAAAAATAAATTGGTTTTATGCTAATTATAGATTTTTTATTTAATCCAATGCCTAAATTTTTTGCTTTCCACCAATACCAGGTTTAGATAAATCTGAGCCGTTTTATCACACACTTCAAATTTAATGTTCAAAAAATACTTCTCAAGTAAATAAAAAACTTGAAAATTAATTATTAATTTGCCCAATATTTTAAATATCCAAAATTATTTTTAAATTGTCTATTTAATTTGAAATAGCCCAAATCTTTAAAAAAAATTGAAAATTATTAATCAAAAATTTAAGATACCAAATATTTTTCATACTACCCAATTAATTAAAACACTGCCAATTTTGATTAATTTTACTGCCCATTTCTTATTAAAAAACTATCCGAATAAATTGTTGTCAATATAATATAAAATATTTAAATTTAAGGGAGATAGTGGAGGTCCTTTTGTATGCCAACCCAAAAACTTGAGCCGTAAATGGATATACAAAATAAGCGACGAACAAACTGAATTCAAATGGCTCTTAGTGGGAATAACATCCTGGGGAATAGGTTGCGCATTATCAGACCATCCTGGGGTCTATACGAAAATGTCGAAATTTATATGTTGGTTGATCGATACCATCAACATTTACAAAGATAATACCAATGCCACTGGCGTAGTATTCCTGTGATTTATTTATACTAAAGAATATATTAACCCTGTAATTAAATTCTTATTCTATTAAATATAATGTTTTTTAAAACTTTTTATTAAAGATTTGAATCAAATAAAAAATATATAACTGTCACAAAAATCAACTATTAGGCTAAATTTAGCAGAGGATTTAAATTCTTTGGCAAAACTAAGTTGATATTTTATTTATTATTAAAATGAATATATAACATTTATCTAAAAAGTTTTGTAAATAACCTGATTTTATAATTGTTTAAAAATAAAATTATAAGACTAAAAAAATATTTATATTTTTACAAATTGATCTGCCTTAAATCTAATGATATTTACAAAAGATTTTTTTTATTTGATATAAGCATTGATACAAGTTTAAAATTCAACTTTAGTTAACTTTCCTACATGGAAAAATAATCATAATTTAATGTAGTTTTCACCATAACGTTAATAGATCAGAGATGAATCGGGCCCGACTTACCCGAATGCTTAGTCAAATGGGTTTTAAAAATCTATACGGGCAGGACAAACATTTATTAAATGATAAGTTGGGTCAGGACTGCATAAAATATACAAAATGATCAGGCCTATCATACCTTTAGTTCAGATATTAATTCAATTGATGACCCTAATCCCTAGGTCACAGATTACCAGTTATGATAAATATTTTATAGGATATTATTCTGAACATAAAATTACTTATAAAATTCAAAAAACAAATCATTCAATACTATATGCAATATGTGCTCGAGTGTTGTAAGTGGCGTAACAGACCCGCAGAATCTGAGGCGCTATAGGAAATAGAACTTCAAATATTGGTTATTAATTACTAATTTAATTACATGTAATCGTTATTTTTTAGAGTAATTATATTTACATAATTACAATTCATTTTATACTATATAATAATTAAAGTAGAATTTGATTAAAAATCATAAAAATAATAAGCAGCATATAATATAATCATAATAATATTTTATTCTCTATTGCAATTTTATGTTTGACAAAAATAAAGGTCTTTCTTGTTCGTTCAATATTAAGTACAATGTCATACATAGTGGTTATGATGTATGCTTGGAAATAGAACTCAGGTTCAATCCTGGTAAGGAACATAAAAATTTTCAGGTTTTTCTTCGATGACAGATGTGTAAAGACATATTGTAAGATGAATTTCGGAGCTTAAAGATGACACCCAGGTCACCGACAGGTGTGGTCAGCCGGGTGCTAAGGATACTTGTCCAATAAACAAAAATGAAGGAAACAAACGAAAATATGAATAAAGCTAGGGCGTTCCCTCCAAGCGACGCCCAGGGTGTAGACCTCCATCCTGGGAAAGTAAAATAAAGGTCAAAGCAAAGAAGACAAGTTTAGCAAGTTTGAATATTGGTACACTAAAGGTAAGACTAGAGAATTGGCATCAATGTTAAATAAGAGAAAAGTTGATATAGCGTGCATACAAGAGACGAAATGGAAAGGTCAGAATACTTTAATGATTGGAAATGGTTATAAATTGTACTATAATTGTTAGAAACAGGAACGGTGTCGGCATCATCCTCAATCAAGATCTAACCACCTCAGTGGTAGAAGTCAACAGGATCTCTGATAGACTAATGAAAATAAAACTCTGCATTGGTAAATCACCTATACATTTTTTCAATATATGCTCCTCAAACGGGTTGCAAATAAGAAGAGAAAGATGACTTTAGAGATATCCTTGATGAAGCTTTAATGAAAATCCCTAAGGATGGCCTAGACATAATAGGTGGAGACTTAAATGCTGGGAAAAGCAAGAGACAGCTACAAAAGGCATCATGGTGGTTTGGATATGGAGAAAGAAAGGATGAAGGAGAGCATGTACTGAAATTTGCGCAAACCTTAGATCTTGCCTTAACCAACACCTATAAGAAAAAGGACAGTCATTTAATAATATATGAAAGTGGTACAAGATAAACCCAGATAGATTACATGCTTATCTCTCGCAGAAGATTAAAAGATGTAATTGACTGCAAAGTCATCCCAGAAGAAGATATTGCCACGCAACACAAGCTACTAGTCATGGATTTACACATCACAAATAAATCCACTCAAAACAAGATAAAACTGGAACCATGCATCAAATGGGGTAAATTAAAAACAATGACAGATGCCTTTGCAATCAATGCAAACATTGAAACAATAGATTCCTCACAAGTCAGTGAAAAATTGTGGACAGACCTTTCATCCAGATTAATAGATACTGCCAAATTGACATTATGCTTGACAAGGGGAGGCAACAAATCATACAAAGAACTATAGCGGTGGAAGTACAAACCACTATGGAGAAAAAGATTTTATATAAAATATGGTACAAATTCAAAAACCCAGATGACAAAACAAATTACAAAAAATCCAAGAGAGTAGCTAAAAAGCGGTGGCTAGATCCAAAGCTATGCCATACGATTACATGTATGAAGAACTCCATACCAAAGAAGGGCAAAATAAAATATACAGATCAGCCAAACAGCGAGAAAAAAATTCTAGGGAATTAAATGGAGCTCCAAAAGTAATGAAAAATAAAGATGGGAAATTGATAATAAAGGAAGGAAAAAATAATGAATAGATAGAAAGAATATTTTCAGGAGCTTCTCAAAATCCCCACATACTTCATCTAGATGAACACACCCCATGTTAAACCTTGTAACAGAACAAGAAATAATCACATGTCTTAAGCATATGAAAAACAACAAAGCTAGGGGTTCAGATGATATTCCAATAGAAAGCCTTAAAGCCTAGGAGATAATGGAATACATCTCCTTACAAATCTGTATAATAAAATACTGGGAAATGAAGAGATTCCTCAAAAATGGAGGCAGAGCTATCTAGTTCCTATCATCAAAAATAAAAGGGATCCACACAATTGTCGAAATTACAGGGGCATAAAACTAATGTCACACTGTCTTACTCTACGAAAAAATAATAGTAAAAAGGTTAAGAGAATCCACGCAATTAGGCAAATGAGTAAAAAAAATACTGGGAAAAGAACAAAAAGCTACACATAGTCTTTCTCGATCTAGAATAGGCCTTCGATAGAATCCCAAGAAAATTTATCTGGTGAGCGCTACGTCACAAAAAGGTTCCCGAAAAGTATATAAGAATAATACAGGATATGTATATGGGCCATACAACAATGGTCCGTAGCACAATTGGTACTTCGACAGGCTTCACAATAGCCGAGGTAGTTCATCAAGGGTCGGCTCTCATCCCACTTTTCTTCATAACAGTAATAGATGTATTAGCACAGTCTACATCACAAACAGTCCCGTGGAATATGATATTTGCAGATGATATTGTGATACTTGCCGAATCCAAGGATGAAATGAAAGAAAGTTTAGTGAGTTGGATAAATATCCTAGAAAAGCACGGACTAAAAATAAAGGAAGAAAAGAGGAGTATAAGGTGATAGGAGGAGATGAAACAGAGAGCATTAATATAAATGAATGGCAGATATCGGCAATTGAAAGCTGCAAATATTTGGGCTCCACTATACAACAAACGGCACAATAGAGAAAGATATAAATAATAAAAATAATCAAGGGTGGTTAAAGTGGAGATCTTTATCTGGAGTGCTCTTTGACAAAAGAATCCCACACAAATAGAAGGGAAAAATTTACAGTTTCTTAGTACAACCAACTATTCTATATAGTTCGGAAGCATGGCCAACCAAGGAATCAGACGAGAGAAGTCTGCAAACTAAGATGATAATGCTGAGGATGTTTGCTGGGGTAACAAGAAAAGGTAAGGTGCGAACAAGAATACTAGGAAGTTAAAAGGTAGTACCCACTAAGACTAAGATAATGTTAAACAGACTTAGGTAGTATGGGCATACAATGAGAAGGCCTATGAACTACATAGGAAATAAGGTTGAGAGTTTGGAAGTGATGGGCAAACGTAAAAGAGGAAGGCCAAAACTTCAATGGGGCCATAAAGTTAGAGCCAATATGAAGAAGTATAAATTAGATAAAAAAGATAGTATGAAATCATAAAGTGGAGAGAGATATTGAAGCTTACCACCAGAAAAGATGAAAGCTAAAGAGAAAAAAAAATCATAAGGCATTTGCTCTGTTACAAAATGGAATATTAATGTTTTAAATACAGATATTATAGGTATTAATATTTGAAGCTCTTTTTCTATCATAATCAACTAATGATATTGAATATATTTTTAACAAATATTAAAACGTGTTCTATAATCTTATTTATCAAAATTGCACTAGTATTTCTACAAGTGCAATGAAGGCAACAATGCTTTCGACTTTTTATAATAAAAATTATATTTCGATAAAGTTTGTTAAATATCTGTTTTTAATGATTCAGTAAAAAAAAAATTTAATGATTAGAGAAAATGATTAAGAACAAGAAGTTAAAATTTAAATATACCTTTTTAGGAAATTATTGTTTATTTGATTATAGACTTATACGATTTGATCGCAGAGTGCACTAGTAACGCTTGTGGATTTCTCATTTTATTAATTACTAGTGATAGCCGGCAAGAATGGTGGGGAATGAGAATTTTATACTTATTTGATAATGGATATAACCTTTTATTTGATACCCATATTCAATTTTTATTTTTTTACCTGCCTCCATTCCTCCAGAACTAAGTCCATTCCATTAAGAATAAGGGCGAATATTGTTATTTAGTTAAAATATTTTTTGTTTATAAAGATTTCTTAGCCCCCCCCCCCCCCACTTAGACCCGACCACTTAGAGTGATAATCATCATTACAATCAAAAGATAATTTAATTACCCCATATCAAATTCTTTTTACCCACCCCTAATGTCCAACTCATTAAGACCAAGAGTGAAAACTATTATTTGAGTCAAAATATATTTTAATTAGCTTTTATTTGATACCCATGTTAATATTTTGTGTTTATTAAAATATTCTTGATAAGATGTATACCTGCCCACTTAGAGTAAATTATCATTAAAATCAAAAGATATTTTAATTACCCTCTTTGATA